CAGGGAGCAGTGGGGAGGGGCCAGCTCTGCTGTGGAGCAGAGAGCTTTGTCCAGCCCAGAGAGCATACTGGGATGCTGGGGGTGTCTGGTTTATCTTAAACCAGCAAGGGGTCTGGGACAGACACTGCATAAGCCAGTTTGACCCAAATCAGTTGAATCTGATACTATATTCAACCAGGTTTATCTTAAACTGGTTTCAGCCATTTTCAAACTGGTGTATGTGCACTGAACATCTGTTTTGTTACAGGTTTAAACCAGTTTTTGATCACTTAAACTGGTTTATATGTAATGTCTGTCCCTATCCCTTGTTTCTGACCCAGTAGTGCAACAACCAGGCTTCAACCTTCCATGGAGCATGCGGACAACCCTTAATAGGATATGCACTGGACATAGCCAGTGTGGCCACCTGGCACCTAAAAATCTCACCTGGCTATGACTGCAGAAACCCTGACCAAACCATGGGGCATACAATAATATCTTGCCTCAGATACAAGTTTAAGGGTGACATCCTAGAGTTACACTCTCTTTCCAGCAGGGCACTGGTCTGGTAGGGGAATTTGGAATTAAAACTGTGATTATAGCTTTTGCTCCTAAAGCTATATGAAAGAAAGAAAGGAGGAGGAGATGTTAGTGATATTGATATGATTTTGCAAAGCAAAATGATTACCACAGTCTGCACTCTCCAATGAAAAACATTGAAATATGAAGTGTCTCTGACCAGCCATAATTACAGGGTGCTGTTAACACACTATTCTTTCACCTGAAACAATCAAGATGATCATCTTTGCTGTGCGTAGTGACTGATACGCTTCCACTTCCCATCCTCTGCAGCTGGGCATTCGTTTATCAAGTGTGCTGCTGGTTGCAACTTAGCCAGTTTGCCACAAGGAGGAGATAGTGAGTTTGCATTTAAGGTGTGAATATTATATATATTATTTTTTATGTATATTTTTCCCCCCGCCTGCCTATGGCCACATTAAGGTGTGAATATTATAAGCAGGTGATAGCTGTTTTACTTGAATAAGGACTGCAGGCTTGAACCAGAGGAAGGGTGAGAGGGGAAAAAATATGAATAATTGCTGGTACTTTGTTCTAGAGGTATGTTGGTGCAGTGTTTTGTTGGTGCAATGATGTATCCCACATATCTTCTCTGGTTCTCACCTGTTCTTACTTATGGTCCCAATAGCCAACTGTTTGGATTTTTTTTCCTCATTTGTGTGGCATACTTTAAATTGTGCCCATGCCCTTATGGTGAGTGAATTTGGACCATTGCTATGTGATGTATTTAGGACTGGGCTACACACCAGCATTTAAATAACCATGTCTGCTATTGACCTGGTGTGACTCTGGCCTGTGTGTGCATGCTTTTGTAGGTTGTAGTGGTGGTGGCAGTACTCCTTCCAGGGTCCATTATGCCATTGTTACACAAAACAAGCTCCCAAAGAATTTGCAAGCCTGTTTCTGTTTTAACTGTGCTTGAATCGGTTGTGCAAGTACTGAAATAAAAGGCTTTTATCCTGCAACAAGAGGGTCTACACTCTGAATTTTATGAAAACAACAAAGGCTGTGATTAAACCTAATTTTGGGTAGACATATAAAGGAAGAGGTGAACCAGAGGCATGAGACTGGAGCAAATCATGCCAGGGTGGACACAGATAAATCTGTATATTCAAAAGTGTGAAGAACCTCAGGTTCTGCATTCAAAGGCAGGCATTTGAAAGCCTGGTAAATTTAGCCCCTTTTTCCCTTGGGGTAAATTTGCCATTATTGGAGCAGGCAAAAGTGCTTTTAGGTGTTGTATCATGTTCACAGCTTTTTAAAGTCAGGACAGCTTGACTTGCTCATTCATGTGTCATGGTCTGAGGACTTTCTTTTCCTTCTTTTATTCCTTCCTTTAGTCTCTTCACATTAGCACTTACTTAGAAACTATTAAGAGACTAATTCTGTGTTGTCTCACTGCTGTTGCCTGGGCATATAGCAATTGGGAAATAGACATCATCCTTTTAAACATTTGCAGTACAAATCCCATCATGTATATGAGACACCATTTATTAGTACAGTTCTGGCAGTTGTCTTTCTATTTCCAAGGGGTGTAAGTGATGCAAGAGTCCAAGCTTTGTTGACTTTTCATGTGAAAACGTGAGCGCCTAACAGTTAATTTATAGTGGCTCATATAGTAATGTGATGAGTGGTTTAATAAAACAGACTCTAAGGGCATGTCCAGATGTGCATGGACGTTTGGTTCTCCTAGGACAAGTAGCAGCGGTGCACTTTGTGCCGCTGCTACTTGTCCCTGGGCTGGGGAATGCTCATGCCACGCATGCTTTGGCAAGCAGCAAGTTGCTCTTGGTTGGGTAGGGGAGGCTGGGGCCAGCTGGCTGGCAGTGCAATGGCTCTGGGCGGTCTGGCTCTGCTTTTCAGCAGCATGTGCTGGCTGAGTGTGTTGTTCCATTTTTTTTCCGTTTTTTTTTTACCCCTGGATATCCTGCGGAAAAAAACCCGGGCACAGCGCGTGCTTGACCAACACACCCTTGCATCACGGAGAACACTGGACTGTGCGGTATGTGGTGCTGCAAACGTGCTGCAAACTTACCACATGACTGTGCTCATCTGAACATGCCCTAAGGGCCTGCCAGTGCTGAGCCCTGGGGAATGCTAGCCTATCACCCAATCACAGCAGCAGGAGTCTTTCCACGGCCTCACATGGGCTGTGGGACAGACAGTAGAGACACAACAGCCCCTTGCATTTCCTGGGGGGGAGCCCTGCATCATTTGGACCTGAATTGCCAGCTGGGAGTCATCAACTGAGTCATCAGCCTGGGGCTAGCCAGAGGGCTGCGCTTGACCTCCTGAGCCCTTGCTGTTGTGCCTACAGGTGTAAATCCTGTCTCAGGAGTACTCTCAGACAGGCCCAGTATCCCCAGTCCAGTGGTCCTGTCCTATGCCCCTCATCCAGCATTTGGGTGCCTGTTTAATGTACTCAAGGATTTGGATTCAATCAAAGCCTCTCTGTTTATTTAATGTCTTGAATGGCAACAAGCAGGGTCCTGTGGGCTTGGATGTTAGACAGTGAAGACATGCTTAAATCACTTACACTTGACAATGCTCAGGGTAAGTGGCCCCTGCCAACCCGGCCTGCTCTTCAACCCCATGGGGCTTTTCAGTGGAGGTGCCATCCTAGGCAGCAGCCTTTGCAAGACAAAGGAGAGGTGGGGGAGAACCTGTGGAGCTGGGTCTGGCTAATGAGAGAAAAGGCACCATTTAGGTATAGGTACAAGAGAACCCAGGCAATCCTCTCCTCACATGGCAGCCTGGTTGTCATGTCAAATGGGCTGGTGTAAATCTGGAGTAACTCCACTGAAATAATTGGGCCCAGATGCTGTTCTCAGTTATCCCACAGTCACTGAAGTAATGAGATGGGAGCAGCTGTAAAGGAGTTAAGGTGTTTCCCTGCAGCAAGCTGAGGGCCACCTTTCCAGATGAGGCTGAAATTGGTTGTTTATTCCCAATTCCCAATTCTTTATTCCTGGTTCCTTATTCCACATCCTAAAGAGAGAGAATTTCTCTCTCTCAGAATTGGCACCCTGGCACAGACAAACTGTGCTTTGGGCTGGGCAAGTCTCTGGCCAAAGATGTCCGAGAGAGTCCCCTAGTGGTACAGAGGCAGTGTGGGGTGGCCCAAAAAAGATTTTCAACCATAAATCCAGCCCAAGACGGTTCCTTATTCAAGCCCATATACTTAGTACAGTGGGCATGGTGGGGCTGTCAGTTGGCAGCACTTTGGGCTGGGCAAGACCCTGGCCAGAGTTGTCAAGGAGAGTCCCCTGGTGCCACAGAGACGTGGTATGACATGGCCCAAAAAGGATTTCCAATCATAATCTCAGCCCAAAACCAGTTCCTTATTCAAGCCATTATACTTAGTACAGTAGGCATGGGGGGCTGCCAGTTAGCAGCCTGGCACGAACAAACTGCACTCTGGACAAGGCAAGACTCTGGTCAGATGTGTCTGGGAGAGTCTCCAGGTGGCACAGAAGTATACTGTGAGGTAGCCCAAACAGGATTTCTAGCCATAATCCCAGCCCCAAAAAACAGTTCCTTGTTTGATTATATTTAGTACAGTGGGCATGGGTGCTGTCAATTGGCAGCCTGGCTTGGCCAAACCATGCTTTGAGCCAGGCAGGACTGTGATCAGGTTTCTTTGGAACAGTCCTCCAGTGGCATTGACAGGAAATTTGGGATGGACCAAGAAGTATTTTGCCCCATAATCCCATCCTAATCTGACCTTCATTTAGGGCTCTGTATTTGATGTGGGATATTATTTTAAATATTAATTAGTACATATGCATAGCTAATGAAATTCTCTCTCTTTAGAATGTGTAATTCATTAATAACAAGCTTTTATTCAGTATAGTTTAGCTTTGAAAAAAGGAACCAGGAATAAAGACCCGGGAAGAAGGAACTGGGAGTAAATAACCGACTTCAGCCTCATCCCCTCCAGTGTGGAGGGGGCTCAGGATC